AAAGCAGTTCAGCAGTGTGGCAGGAAGACCCGGGACAGCTATCAGGGCCTGGCTGGAGGGGACACTGCAGCAGTGGCAGGTTTATTTTTAGCTTTTGGGACAGAGGGGCTGAGTAACAATTCTGGGTCCTGGGCAGGAGGCCAGGTTGCAAATGTTCAGTGTGGCTGGGAGCCTCGAAACAATATGGATAACCAAAATGGCAGCAACATGATCAACTCAGTCATCTGCCTGGGGAGGGCCAGGAGGGTAAGGAGCCAGCAGGCGGACTGTCAGCAGGTCTCCTCTTAGGCCCCTCCCCAACCCCCGGACTGGAGAGATGGCTTATTTGTTCAGGTTCAAGAGAAGAAGCATCATGGAGCTAAGCCAGAGAGAAGCAGCAGCAGATAGCTCCTTTGTTCCCCTCATCTTCCCTGAGACAGAAACAGCTTCTGACCGTGGCCCTGTAGCTACTGCTTTTAGTCACCACTCTTCATCTCCCAGACAAGTCCTGGATGGACACTGGCCATGGAGATGCCTGGAAACATCCCTCAAGAGTAAGACGCCCTTTCATATAATCCTTTCGATCAGCTCACGTTTCTGCTGGAATGAACACACAGTTTGGCTGGTCTTGGAGGAGAACGTCAGTTACAGAGGCTGATCTTGGGACCACAGCCCAGCTTCAACCACCTGCCGGGTGGCACTCAAAGGTGTTTACTGGACCAGAGAATAAAGACCCCAAGAACTCTACACTGCCAGAGGCTGAGCACAACCTTATCCGCTTTCCACTCTGTCTCTTCTTCCTCCAACCAAATCTGATATTCTGGCACACAAAACCCCACAGTCCAAAGCTCCAGGGCTGAAACCACTGCTCTAGCCTTAAATGGGCAGGAAGAAGAGAAAAGAAAACAGACATCACCAGGCATCCCCTCTCCTCTTGCTTCCTTGGACTCCTGATATCCCTTCTTATCCAGTCCAACAGGTAAGAAGTGGTACCTGGATGTAAATCCTAATTTTCCCATCAGCTCTGGGAACCAGTGCTCAACTCTCATCTCAGAACAGCCCCGAGCCCATGCTATATCTTTGGGTGAATGAGAAGAAAGTATTCATTTGGATGGATGCAGCCACACACCAAGGCAAAGCCTGACAAGGGGACAGGGGGCCAGATTACAGCCTTCACTCCCTCCCTCAGCCAGGTGCTCCTGTGCAGGGCACAGCCTCCACAACCAATCCCAGTGCCATGTTTGGCCCCACAACTTCAAACAGGGAGTTTCAGATGGGGAAAATCAAGAATTCCCTATCTCAGGGCCAGCCCCAAGGCTGAGTGGTTAAGTTTGCACGCTAGCTTCCGCGGCCCAGGGTTTCACTGGTTTGGATCCTGGGTGCAGATATGACACCGTTCATCAAGCCAGGCTGAAGCCGCATCCCACATGGCACAACCAGAAGGACCTAAAACTAGAATATACAACTATGTACTGGGGGGCTTTGGAGAGAGGAAGAAGAAAGAAAGAAAGAAGAAAAAGAAGATTGGCAACAGATGTTAGCTCAGGGCCAATCTTTAAAAAAAAAAAAAAGATTCCCGATCTCTACCTTGAGGCACCACTACACTAGGATTCTTCTGATTTGAAGGAAAGAGTAGGTACACACCACACTGAGTTACACAGCCCTTCCTCTCTGCCGAGGCGCTGGACAGAACGCTTTCCAAGTCTTCATACAGGAGAAGGAGCAGCCGGTCAGTGACGATTATTAATTAACTCGACACAGGCTGCCCTGGAGGCCAGCATTAAGCCTATCAAAAAGGCATCCATGCTGGCCCAGACACTGCTGATGGTCAGACATGGAGCAAGTCAGCAAGCTCTCCTGCCTGCCCTCAGCCTCTTGCCTCCAGCACAGCCTTCCACCATTCCACACTGCCAGTGCCCAAGAAGCCAGCAGGAGCCTGACACTCTGACATATGCATGGAGGCCTGGAAAGTTTAACTGACCTACTCAAGGTTACACAACTACTTAGCAGGGCACAAAGACTAGACCTTTTTTTTTTTTTTGGCTTTCTAATCTACTACATAACCCATAGTAACAGGCTCATCTCTAAATATTTCTATCCATACATATCTTAAAATACAAAATGTCAGTATTCCCCCAAAGACTAGAAAAGGTACAAAATTTGACGTGGGTTCCATACCTGGTGTGTATTAAGCTGCCCAGTGGCATGGCTCCTTCTCTTTACCAATGCCCTGTTTATAAGGTGACCCATGTAGAAAGAGTCTAGCGCCCAGTTAGTGGAGCTTGGTTTTGTACTACCAGACCTACAATCCCAGTACTACCACCTCTAGCAACTAAAAAACCAAAGGAACTCACCAACGGTAGGTCCCAGGGAACCAGGTCCCAGGGCATGGCACTGATGTTGACAGCAGGTAAGACCCAGGACGTACCACTGAACCTTTGTGGACTGGCCCAGCCTCTTCCTTGGTGAGATGGAGAGTCAAGAAAGATGACTATGGAGTGTCCTCAGCTCTAAGGTGCTATGAGGTGTGGGTCCCTTTACCACTGGTTACTAAGAGCAGCTGCAGCCCCTTCAGACACAAAGAACAATTCCGCTCTGCCTGCCCACCTCCCTCCAGGACACTGAAGCACCTGGAAAGGTGCGGTATAGGGACAAGAGGGAAAAAGAGACATCACATGGCCTTGGAAGGGCCTGAAGCAGAGGTAAGGGAGGCAGGAAAGTATGAATCCTGTACCATGGACATCAAACCACCAGGGAGACTCCTGGATCAGAGCTCAGGAGGGCCACTCGGGAATCATGAAAGGACTCAGATGCAGATGCCGAAGCAATGTCCTTCCCTGCTGTGGCTGCATTCATCCTGGCACAGACTCCACGTACCCCTGGGCTCTGCAGATGACAAGAGCTTTGGCCCTCTCCCCCACCCCAGGATTTGGCCAGGGATTAAGTTTGCCTCCAGCAGTCCTAAAGTTTGGCTCCTCCAGGCCTCTCCCTGAATCTCCTGCACCTGCTTCTTAAGTAAAATCATCAACTGATGATGGGCCCACTCCTCAGAGCCCAAGCAGTCCAAGCACCTTCGTCATGGATCCCAACACTTCATCCCCCTAAAAGGAGCCCGTTCGTTCCCCAGACACCCACCAATATCTCGTCCCAAGGCCTGGGGCTGCTCTTCTCCCCACTTCTGTCAGCTACTGATCCCAGACCTTAGCCGGAGATTATCTTCAAGCTCTATCAAAGCCCACAATTCACAAGTGAAAAAAGGACCCCGAGCCGACCCCGCTTTGATCCTGCCTCAGTGGATGCCAAGAGGCCTGCTGCAGCACGCAGGGGCCAGGGCCCCAAGAGGGGCAGGGTCTCTGAAACCAGAAACTAGACCTTCCCTCAAAAAACCACAAGCCCCAACCTCAGCGATCTGTAACCTTTCTTTATAACATCCTGTTAGTTTATATCACGCCCCTCAAACACTTTAAAACCTGTTCTTAGCACAAAGATGGGTCAGGTTCAATTCTGAGCCACTAGCCCCACTTGCTCCTTATCAACCTGATCTGCTCTCCTCTCAGCTCTAGCCAGGGCCAGTGTCGCCATCGCCTCCTGCAAATCTGCTCATTCCTCAGCTCCTTCGGGCCTCACAGATTTCCCTCTTTCAAAGCTCCTCGATTCCCAACCCCATAAATTAACCCCTAGACCAGCAAAGTCCAGGAGAACTTTCTACAAGGATGAAAATGTTCTACACTGCTCAATTCAGGAGCCATTAGCCACATGTAGCTACTGAACACTTGAAATGCAGCTAGCATCTAATTCTTTAATTTAATTTAACTAATTTTAATTGAAATAGCCATGCATGGATACTGGCTACCACCTTGGGCAGTGTACCCCTAAATGACAACTGTTAATTTCACCTTCTCCAAATCAGTTTCTTGACCCTGAAGAGTTTAAGGCCACTTTAAATGTCTGTACCCTCCAGAGAACTAAGCATGTGGTAGGAAGCTCAGTGAACTATTAACTACCTGTAACCAGAGTGGATAGAAAAGAGGCCGGTTTGGTCGATGAAACCTTTCTCACCTTGTGATCGCATGCAGCAAACCCCCATTTGGGACACTCACCCAGCAATGCTACCTATCTTGCTCCCCGACAGGTACACAGCACGAGGTGTGCTGGATAGGAGAGTGCCTGTACTCTGGGGGTGCAGGAGTTCTGGCATTTCCCTCGAACAGTGTCCAGACCAAACATCTCCCCTTCAGAACACCAAGGGAAGCCACATGGCAGTGACACTGAGTGACCTGGGGAGGAGGGCCGCTGGAGAAAGCAGAGGAGCAGAAACCACTGCACCTTGTTTTCTCCAACCCACACCATGGAAAGATAAACAGAGATAAGTTATGACAATATATTCTGTAAAGCAATAACACGCTTCACCTAATCAGAGTCGCACAGCAGAGAGGGACAACCGTGCCAGCTTTAATTAAATTTGTTCAGCTAATACCTAAGAGTCACCACGACACAATGAAGCAGGAAGCAGCTGAGGAACCCCAGGGGAATACGACAGTGCACAAGTAGGTTGAGACTAGGCATCCCTACCAAAGAAATAGTTAACAGAATTCCCCTGATCTTGAACAAAAAATAATAATAAATAAAATTTCTACCAAACACTCCCTAAAAAGGGGAGTAGGTGGCAAAAAAGCTTGTTATCACAGATTCAGAACTCATGAGCTGCCGGGTTGGTTTGTAAGCTGCCCCTCCAACTTCAGGGGTTATTGCTGGGGAGGCGATCGACACCCACCCAGCACGCCTCACCGACAGTCCAGGAGGGCCTGCGGCGAGAGGAGCTCCTCAGGCTTGAGGGGCTCTGCAGATGCAGCCAGGCCCGGTCCGAGCCTGATGAGACCACTGCAGTTAGGAAGTGGGAAGAGGCTGAGAGCTGGAGGCTGGCGTCCTGGGTTCCAATCCTGGATCCTGGCTCTGCCAAGTGCATGGCTCTATTACCTCAAGCAAGTCTTTGTTCTGGGCCTTGGTTTTCTCATCTGCAAAATGAGGGGGTTAGATGAGATGACCTCTAAAGTCCCTTCTAACTCTGACTGAAGTTATGAGTATGTCTCAGAACTTAGCAAAAGCAGCCAGGAGAGATGGTGAGAGGTCACAGCACCCACCAAAAGCATTTAAATGTTAGATCTCTCGGGTGGAGGGAGGGAAGCAGCAAGCTGAGTTGGGACTATTTTTTCAAGCACTGATTTCCCTTAATAGGGCTAAGAGGTCACCAGACCACAGACAGGGAGCAGGGCATCTGGGCAGCCAGCAGCTCCCATTGACTCTCAGGGCTGTGAAACAGCAGACACCAGAACTCCCACCCGAGGGCCCGCCGCAGCTCTACAGCTCTCTGCCCCAAATCCCCAGGAATGGCCTAACACGCCCCTGGAACAGAAGTCTCCTCCCTTTTTCTCCAGGCACCTTCTGGATGGGGCAATCCGTCCTACCCCACCACATCTTCCTCCCTCACTTGATAATCAAAACACTCCTGGGTTTTGAAAATCATTTCACTACTCAGCACCTAAGGTTGAGTTAATCAAGATTCAAGATCTAGAAATCTCTTTGGTGTATGTCTCTGGAACAGGATTCTTTGAACCCGATTCCCCTAAGAGCTGTAATTATGTCTTAGCCAATATTTGGATATGGAAGGGCTGTTGACACTGCTGTCAGTCTCTGAATGCCTCATCCCTTCTTTCTTCCTCTATTATTAAGTTTTTACACAAAGATGTGTGGGAAATCTACAATCTAACAGTTGAGTCAACTTCTAAGATTTGGGAGCAGGCTGCCTGTCAAAACAAACTCTGACTTCAATCTTCACCCACTTCTAACCTGAGAAGAACAAACTATGAGTGTCATTTAAAATATGCTAGATTTTTCCTTTCAAAACTATTCAAAGGGGGAAAATATCCAAATCTCTCCTATTAATTACAAAAGAAATCTGAATTGCCATCCAAAAGCATTTGAGAGGATGTCACACGTGTCTATTAAATAGAACAAGGAGCAGTTGAGAGCTTTTCTCCTCGAGTCTTTATACAATATTCCAACTATTCAAGAGAATGAGCAGCCAGTGTCCCCAAACTGCTGGTGGGTGAAGGCAGATGCATCTCAGAGGAGACAGAAAACTCTCCTGGAAAGAATGTCTGTCATTTCCTCAATGGTACGGGCTAACCGTGGTCAAACAGAATTCACTCAACTCCACTCCCCAAGGTCAGAGCGACAGTCAAACAAGCGCCACCCCCAGTTATGAGTATGGAAAGAGCGGGCTAAGGCACAAACACGCAAGTGTTCAAGACAGTGACATATTCCTTCTCCAACGGTCCACACTGAACAACAACCAAAGCCCACAGCAACAGTGCAGAGCAAAAACCAAAGAAATCTGACAGTGTTGGGGCGAGCCAAAAGCTCTCTTCCAAGAGGGAGAATGAAAGCAGCAAGAAAACAATTTTAGAGCCCTTAAAGTTTGGAAATTGGACATGCGTGCCCTCTACAACCCTGAGGCGTCAGGGGTTATGACATTTAATTATATATTCCAACAGTTCCTCCCATAACGAATATCTGAGTTTTGTATTAGCAGCTGAAATACAGCTAGCAGTGGGGGCTGAGGGGGAAGAGAAAAATATACCACAGGAAGTATTTTTCTCCTCCTCCAATCATTAAGACACCCCGGGGGGAAACAGGCATGATGTGTCACCTTTAGAGACGTGGTTGAGTCTGAAACCCCTGTGAGGAGAAAACCTTTTAAATGACCCTGAACACTGGCTCGCGATGCCCTGGGGCCCCACTCGTCTCTTCAGACCTCCGAGTCCATTCTGTATAACTTCTGAAGTAGGTGTTCTCACTTAAACCCCCATTCTTCCCCTACCACACCCTCTTAAAAAAAAAAAAAAAAAAAAAAAGAGGTCGGGTTTCCCTGGCTCAAGGATAACGCTCCCTCCTACTGTCCACCAATCGCCCGTGTCCAGGACTCAAGTGGCCATCTCCCATTTGCGGAATCAGCGCCGGGCCAAGCCGTGGTTTACACACCCGCTTTACAGTGATCAATGGGGCTATGGAAACAGCAGACACCGCCGGAGCCTGCTGGCCTCCCATCTGGAGCCTCGCGGGCACCGAAGGTAGGAGGGGGCCCACTCGCGGGTCAAAACAATCCCTCCCCGGCGCCGGGGGCGGTGTCCCCGCGGAATCTCCAGCCTCGCGCCTCCCGGGCCGGCGCGCCCCAAGGCGGCACGGCCGCGCTCGCGAGGCCCAGGGAAGTGAAATCACACATTCCGGCTCCCAAATAAGGAGCGAGACTAAATAAACCTCTGAGATCCGACTTCTCCAAACCAACCGACCAACCAGCTCAATGAGTAATGGGCCTTTTGTGCCCGCAGAAAGAAAGGAAGGAGGGAGGAGAGGACGGGGAACCACAACCTCCGAAAATCACTTCCTTGAGACGGGGTGAAATTAGCAGAAGTGGTCCCGGAGCCAACCGTCGCGACTCGGCTGGATCCCGCTCAAACCCCAAAATGGCAGAGTCCTCACGAGTCCTCCGAGTCGCCGCCACTCACCCCGGAGGTGACCGGAAACCCGGACGCGGCGCCGCGCTCTGCCGGGACCTGATCTTCCCCGCCGCCCCCCTCCGCGGTCGCGCACCCGGCACCCCCGGGCGCCCGGGACGGACGGCCCCGCGCGGCCACTGCTCCGCGGCCCGAGCGCAGGGTCGGCGCGGTCACGCTCCGCGACCGTGCGCCTCGGCCGCCCCAGAGCCGGGGGGTCGTGCCCGGGAGCCCCCTCTGCCCGTCCGCCCCTCCCCCGGCCCCAAACCTACTTTCAGGGCGAATTTCTCCTGGGTCCTCTTGTTGAAGATCTGCAAAACTTTCCCGTTGATGCCCAGCCCCAGGACCTGGGTGGTGACCTTGTAGTCGTCGATGATGGCGTTCTTCTTGATCTGCAGGCTCGACTTGACGTGGAACTGGGGGAACTGCTGCGGGGGCTGCGGCGGCGGCTGGGCCGGGGGGTGAGGCTGGGCCGGGGCGGGGGGCTGCGGCGCGGCGGCGGCGGCGGGTTGGGGAACAGCACCGGCGGGGTCTGGCCTTGGGAGTTGGACAGCATGGTGCCGGGAGACGCGGGCGCAGAGGCGGGAGGGCCCGCGGCCGCCCCCTCCTCCGGCTCCGGACGGGGTCCCCGCCACCCCCCGCCCGGCTGCGAAGTTTGCTCCGAGCTGGAGCCGGCTTCCCCGCCCCGGCCCGGCTCCAGGCTCGGCGGGTCGCGAGGCTCCGTGGGTCCCGCCGCGCGCCGCTGGCGCCCACCGGCCCTGCGCCCGCCCTCCCTCCCTCCCCCCCCCCGGGGGCCTGGCGCTCGGTGGAACGCGGGACGGCGGGGCCGGCCGGGGGGAAGCCGCCGCGCGACAATGTACCCAGCCCGGGGGCCGGCGGCCGCGTCACAGCCTCGTCTGCGTCCGGGGCCCGTCCTTAAAGGGGAGGGTCGGAGGGGCAGGGCTCGGGGAGGCGAGGCGGGGCCGGGAGGCGTGGGTGTGGGGGAGGGGCTGGTCTTAAAGGGGAGGACGCGAGGCCTCCGGAGGCGGAGGGCCGGGGCCGGAGGCGCGGGGCTGGGGAACAGGGAGTGGGGACCGAGAAATCCTAGTTCTTAACCAGGGCCACACAAAAGGAAGGAGGAGGCGCATGAAAGTAGCTGCGTAACTCAGATAGAAAATCCACTTTTCTCCAGTTGTCTGGATCTTTTAGACAGAAGCAGCCAAGTGGGAGAGGGGGGTTATTTTGACGGAGAGGGATGACTAGTGAGTGTGAGCTGGGTGAGACCTCAGGGCTGAGCTGCACGGAGGCCATTCATCCTGGTGTGAGGTATGAGGCAAATAGTAAATGTTTTCTTAACTTGAACGTTCTCCTCTGAGTTTTGCATTTCTTATAATTTTTTTTGGTTTTCAGTAAAGATTTATTGCTGTGTAATTACGAACAATTTAGTAAATATACCGTTGAACATTTTTTCATGTAAATTAGCTTTAAAAGGTTACCGGATGAGAAGAGGATGGATTACATTCAGATGGCCTGAATTGGCCTGAATTCGGAGTCTTCCCCACTGCCTGGCTGTGTGCCCCTGAGCAAGCCATCTCACCTCTCTCTCAGTGGGAAGAGTAGCAATACCTTTTCTCAGGGTTGTGGAGAGAGTTACGTAAGAAAATGCAACAAAAGGGAAGGTCTGGGGAATAGGTTCTGATTTCCAATGTGGAAAAGTTCATCCCTGAACCTACAGCGGTTGGGAGAAGTGGGTATTTTTAAAGAAGCTGAGTTCTAGCCCAGGTTAACCTCATGTCTCTGAGGAAGATACCAAGGACCTGGCTGGGCCTATGTTGCCCAGGTCAGGGGAGGGGACTAGGGAGGCCCTAAATGGAAAGCTGCCAGAGGGCCTCTATGCATTCTGGTGGGTTTGGGAGTGATCATCAAATACATCCCTGCTGACCTCTTCCCTCCACTGACTAGTAGAGCAGTTGAGAAATAAGACAAAGGAACCAGACAGGTGAAGACAAAACCTCAGCCTAATTACTGATGAAGCCGTTGTAGAGAACGGGGCTTGACCTACCGCATGGGGCCCATACTGTGTCCCGTCAACACACCAGAGCCGCCTTGTCCGGGGAAACCCAGCTGGGGGAGAAGGGGACATCCTGAGCACAGGGGCCCTTAGGGACTGAGCCAGGCTGGGAAGGAGTGAGGGGTGGAGGGAACGGCAGGAGCTACCCTCCCAGCACATGCCTTCCCCGACAGACGGGCAGGGCTCACTCCATGGGCCAAGGAGAGAAATGGTTGCCTTCACACAGTACTCGTTCTTTTCAAGCAGAGTTAGTTTAGCGTACACCTTGACTCTGTACCAGGTGCCACGCTCGGCCCTGCGGTGGTGGATGGCGTCAGCCTGCGGGGAAGCAGACAGACAGGTTCAAGCGGTCAGTAGCCCGAGAGTGGCACAGACACGGGTCTGGCACCGGAGCCTCCTCCCTCGGTGGAGGGTGGATGCGGTGAGACCGTTCCCCCATTACCCTGACTCCTCAAAGAGAAAGAGACTGCTTAAGGCCACAGAGATTGGAAAACAGCCTTGAGGTACCTCCCCAGTTCTACAGTATTGCTACCACCTCCCCAAAGCACACTCGGAGACACCGAACGACGCGGGGCTGGGGGCAGTGAAAGCGCCAGCTGCCCAGTCTCTGTCTCAGCTGACAGGATGGCCCTAGTCCCGGCTGCTCAGGGCTCCGGGTTGGTCTTTTTCCCTCCCAGAGGGTCACTGGGGCCTCCGACTGCTTGACACTGTGCTTTTATCTGCTTCTATCCACAGAGCTACAAAGAGGATGAGCTCTTTTCTGGCCTTTCAGAGACCGCAAGGGACAGTGGAAAGAGAACAGAATTTAGAGACAAATGACCTGAATTCAAGTCTATCCTCGAGTTGAGTCACCTTGAGCAAGCCATTTATCTTTTCTTTGTACCTGAAAAAATGAAAAAAATAATAAAATCGAATTTCAGAGCTGAGTGAGAATTGAATGAGGTAGTATTTATGAGAACTCTTCATAAACTATAAATTATCATGAAATAGTAAATATCCTCATTACGAAGGCATGGCTGGTTTGCTCCTCTGCTCTGTGCCCACTGCATGGGGATCTGTCCCTGATATTGAAGCTGCCTTCCTGTCTGGCTGGGGCTCTGGGGAGATGCTGAAGCCCAAGGGCCTAGGAATAACAAGAGAACTGAAACCCCAGCTGGGGAGTCCTCCTGGAATTACAAGGGCCAGTTGGGCCTACGGGGCACACAGGGACTCTAAGGGCATGTACACAGTGCACAGAGATTACATAGACTGCACACACAGCAGCTGGAAAACACACACACATAGGAACCCAAACACATTAGCACAATGTGCCTGGCATGTAACAGACATGGAATAAATACCTAATGGATGAATAATAACTGTGGAGTGAGATGGGCTAAAGAAAGAAGCGCTAGGCAAGAGAGGCCGAGTCTTAAATTCCGTTCTAGCACTGCCTAGCTGTGTAACCTCATGAAATCCTCTTGCCCTCTCAGTTCCCTCTTTCTCATCTGTAAAATACTGATCATAACATCTGATCTGTCTACCTTGTAGAGCTATTGTAAGAACAAAATAAAACATTTTCCCTTAGGACACAAAAGTCCAAAGTCCTATTTGTAAAACACCAAGCTCTAACCATCTGTAATGAACTACTTAGACAGTTTTGATGGACGTGTAGATGCACGTCAAAAGTTAAAAGTCTATGCAAACAGAAAGTACTATTTTTATCCACCATTGACATGCAAACACATATGCCATGCACGATTGTACACACAAAGACAACAGTTCCACGGAAGTGGATTAATTGTAACCCTTGATTCCTGACTCGCCCTTATCATTGGGTCATTGGTTCTTGTACCTCTGCTTTTATTTAGTCAGTTATCAGTTATTGGTTAATAATATAGTAGGCATCTGCCAATCCACTACCCAAAATAAAAACTAGGACTTTGACGATAATGTACATCTAACTAGGTGGTTCCTCCATTCCCCACAACCCATTTCTGTTTCCCCAGCCCAAGACAGCATTTGTTTGGAATCCTATGTTCATCATTCCCTTGCTTTCCTTTTATGTAGTTTCATTTCATAAAGACACATCAAAGGTATAGTTGTCTGACCTTCATAAAAGATGAAGCTCAGGGACTGGCCCAGTGGCGCAGCGGTTGGGTTCACACGTTTAGCTTCAGCGGCCCCAGGTTCGCCACTTTGGATCCCGGGTGCGGACATGGCACTGCTTGGCAAGCCATGCTGTGGTAGGTGTCCCACATATAAAGTGGAGGAAGATGGGCATGGATGTGAGCTCAGGGCCAGTCTTCCTCAGCAAAAAGAGGATTGACAGCAGATGTTAGCTCAGGGCTAATTTCCACAAAAAAAAAAAAAAAATATGAAGTTCATAGTGTCTTAAAAGGGAGGTGGATAAGAGTGACTTTATCAGCAAGATGAGGTTAAAATAAGCAAACATCTTATCACAGTTTCGAAGGAGTCTCCACCTTCCCATGGTGATGAGGATGATGATGATTACTGAGTGCTTAATCTGTGCCCAACACTGTGCTCAGCCCTCCACCTGCATCATCTCATTTAAATCTCATAAAGATCTGCGGCAGAGATTGCTAGTTATCTGGGCCAATATCCATTTCCCCCTCTTTGATAGTAAAGAATATTTAGCTAAGCACATGACTTCCTGGAATAAAAGTTACATTTCCCAGCCTCTGTTACAGCTGGTTGTGTTCATGAGACTAAGTTCTAGCCAATGACTTGTAAATGAAAGTAGTTGAAGGAAAGAGGCAGGTCGTCCCCCTTCTCCTCCTCTTTTCTCCTTACTGCTAGCTGGAATGAAAATTTAATGGATGGAACTTAAGCAGCCATCTTGGATCATGAAGTAGAGGCCATAGGTTGAGGATGATACACAAAAGGACAGAAGGAGCCTATGTCCTGGAGAGCAGAGATCCGTCATATCAGTCCTAAACCACTTAGGTGAAAGAGAAATAAACGTTCTTCTAGTTACAGTAAGTTATATTCTAAATTTGCTATCACTCGCAGCCAAACCCCATCCTAACACAACCCCATGGGGTATATACTGTTATCCCCATTTATCTATTTTATAAATGAGAAAACTGAGTCCTAGAGAAATTAAATAACTTTCCTAGGGTTACACAGCTATCAAAGGACAGAACCCAGGTCTTTCTGACCCAAAGTCTATTGTCGTGGCCCTTACTCTAAATCCTGACCAGAAATATACCCACATATCCTTCATGATGTGAGAAATATGGTATCTGCCATTTTGGGCAGGAGCGGCCTAGAAAGGTGTGGGCTATACTTTTCATTTTAGATAAACTTTAAATCTCCCATAGCCCAATTTCCTTCTATCTTGGCCTAACCTGTTATGGAGTATAGGTCTTTGTTCATCTGAATGGCTGGGTTATATTATAGGATAAATCGTGAACTCATGACAATCTCTGTTCTTCGAGCTTCCCCCACCCTGCCTTCACACCATCAGAGAGTAAAAATTCCCTATTTTACTATGACGTGACATTGTGAATGAAGGACAGAGCATAGAAATCTGTAGAGGTGGATTTCTTGGAAATTTTCAAACAATGTGCTCTCGATGAAATAGGATCATCCACAGGCTGTTGGATATGCACGTACCTACAGATAAAATGGCCTTTGTATCTATTGCTAGTATGTATGCAAACAAATACTGCAGAAGGAAGCAGGAGTCACAGGAAAAGTTCTGTCCACTGAAAACTCACCTTTGGAAAGGCAAATACCTTGAGACCAGAGAGAGATAAACAGTCTTCAAGTCATAGGCTAGTATTTCTCTGATAAAATGAGAAATTCTCGAGGAAAAATGACAGCTATATAAGAATCATTAGTCCTAAAAATTTCTGAAATCTCTGAAAGTGCTAAGGGCTGATCCATAGAAAGAAACTCTACCCAAAAGCAAGTGCTGTGGGCAATGCCCCATGTAAGGACATCTCGGAGGAGAAGAAATGCTCTGCTCCCCCACCCGCAAGGCCCATCCTTTGACAGTTTAATACCACAGCGGAGAGTAGCTGGAGCAGAGGGGAAGAATGGGACTGGAAAGAGAAAGAAGGAAGTACCCAAGGGGAACAGAAACTTAGCCTCTGCATATCAACAGATATAACATGGTCCAAAGGGACTGCAAATGGGACTAATTAGGACTCCACGATGCCTAATTATAAATTCTGTGGCTTAGTATAGGAAATGGAGTAAAAAGAGGTAAATATTCTGCCATATGCAAGATGGCCCAAGGCTGTTGTCCTTGTATTAAAAGCTTTGCCCCTCCAGTCTAGCCTGTATCCAGCATATCAATTGCCACTCAGATGGGTATTCAGCCTAGAGAGAGAATTGGGGAAGGGAGAAAGAAAAAGGGGATTTGCCATCCAGGAACACAACCAGGCTGTGTCAACCCAACAATCATTCGTTCTTTGCCTGGTGACCTGCTGACCCCAGGATTTTTTTCCCTCCCTCACTTAAGTGAATGGAAGTGGGAGGGTAGGAAAAGTAGGGAAGAGACGTGTGTGCTCACGTGTGTGGGGAATGGGTACTGATTTCCTAAGGATATAAGGATAAATAGCTTCACATGAGAACATAATTTGGGGGCAGCAGAGCATGGTGGAATCAAATCCTGGGTTCAAATCCCACCTGCTCTGCTCGCTACTATCTTAACTGCACCTCAGCCTTCTCTGTACAATGCAGTGGGTGACGATCTTCCCTGGATTAAATGCACACGCAACATTTTGGACTGTTACTGGCATGTGATAATTGGCCTCCACAAATGTAAGCTGTTATTATGCAGTAGTTACTTTCATACCAATCATCTCCTTCAATCCTCTCAACAAGGCTGTACTTAGTATTATTTCTGCTCTTTTGATCATTGAAAACTCTGTGGCTCAGAAAGATTAAATAACCGGCTGAAGTCATCACACTAGGGCAGAAGAGCTGGAATTCAGACTTGCGCTGTTTCCACACATCTCAGGGTCCGTGTTCCTAAATGCCCTTTTCTAGCTACCTGACACCTGCCAGTCCACTCTGAGGAAGCCATGCCAGCCTGTGTTTGTGGCTCAGGAGAGGGAAGCACAGTCTGCAACCTGTGCAACACGGTCATATTTCAAAGACTTTCCCTCTAAGACAGAGAGTTAAAGGCAACAAATCGTCATTTAAGCATTAATGAATTTGGGATCCTAGCATCTGTAAGCTTTTGAGGAAGGACCTAAATATGTGAGGTATATGTGGTATATCCTACATTTTGTTTTTCTTTTTACTCATTCCATGACAGAGGTTAGGAGCTCAATTTTTCCCCCACATTTCTCATTAGGTTACGAAAACTATAGTATCGTAGAGATGAAAAGGACCTATGGAGCTCACCTGATCTGTCTCCTTCTCCAAAGACCACACCTGCATCGTCACTTACACAAGTGGGTGTGTGACCTTAAAAACTTTAGGCTCTGGAGCCGGCCCAGTGGTACAGCAGTTAAGTTCACACACTCCACTTCGGTGACCTTGGGTTCACTGGTTTGGATCCCAGGCGTGGACCTACGAACTGTTAATCAACCTATGCTTTGGCAGGCATCCCACATACAAAACAGAGGAAGATGGACACAGACCTTAGCTCAGGGCCAATCTTCCTCAACAAAAACAAAAGAGGAGGATTGGCAGGTTGGCAGGATTGGTGGCAGATGTTAGCTCAGGGCTAATCTTCCTCAAAAAACAAAACAAAATAAAACAAAAATTTAGGCTCTCAGAGCTTCTGTGCCTCATTACACCACAAGAGGAAATTCTTCTTTTTGTGTGACCCATATAGCATACATTGCAAGCAGGTTCCTCTCATTCCTGGACACTCACTCACTGAGGCTGGCGAGGGGTCTACCCACGGTGCTAGACAGATGTTTAGAGCCCTCTCCAGTGAGGCAGTAGGAGCAGGGGAAAACCG